GGAGCCGCGCGGGCCGGCAGAGCTGCACATTCCCGCCCTTGGGAAGAAGGTCCCACCACCCGGCAGCCCCCCGGGGCCGTCTCCCACCTCGTCCCCGCCTCCCACCGCCCGGAAGATGTTTCCAGGCCTCTCTCCTCCCTCCTTGCAGAAGAAACTCAAACAAGACCAGCTGAGGGTGGAGATCAAGCGGGAGCTGATGTCCGGAGGGATCCACGGGGAGCCGCACCCGTCGGATCGCGCCTGGTCCCCCCGGGAGGAGATGTCGCCCCTGAACCTCTGTGAGTCCCTCCGGGAAGGGGGATGAGCCGGATTTGGAGGGGGCTGAGGGCTCATCCTGGGAATCTGGGGGGGCTGAGGGTTCATCCTGCCCTTTTGGGGGGCTCATCCCAGGACTTCAGGAGGACTTTGGGTTCGTCCCGGGATTTTCGGGAGCTCATCCCAGGACTTTGAGGGGCTCATCCCAGTGCTTTGTGGGGGGCTGAGGGCTCATCCCAGAACTTTGAGGAGCTCATCCCGGTGTTTTTGGAGGCACTGAGAAGTCACCCTGGCATTTTGGGGGAGCTTTGTGGAACTGAGGGGGCTTTGGGGAGCTCATCCCAGGACTTTGAGGGACTCATCCCAGTGTTTGGGGAGGCTCATCCTGGGACTCTGGGGGGCTGAGGGCTCATCCCTTGTTTTTTTAGGGGGGCTTTGAGGGCTCATCCCTTGGATTTGTGGGGGCTCATGTTGGTGTTTTGGGGAGGAGCTGAGGACTCATCCTGGGGATTTATGGGGGGGCTGAGGGCTCATCCCAGCGTTTTGGGGGGCTCATCCCAGTAATTCTGGGGGCTCATCCCAGGGCTCTGGGGGGCTCATCCCAGTAATTCTGGGGGCTCATCCCAGGGCTCTGGGGGGCCAAGGCCACATCCCAGTGTTTCTGGGGGCTGAGGGCTCATCCTGGTGTTTTGGGGGGCTCATCCCAGCACTTCTGGGGGCTGATCCTGGGCTTTGAGGGGAGGCTGAGGCTCATCCTGGTGTTTTGGGGGGCTCATCCCAGCACTTTTGGGGGCTCATCCCAGCTTTGGGGAGAGGCTGAGACTCATCCTGGTGTTTTGGGGGGCTCATCCCAGCACTTTTGGGGGCTCATCCCGGCTTTGGGGAGGGGGCTGAGGGCTCATCCTGGTGTTTTGGGGGGCTCTCCCGCAGCCTCCCGAGCCGACCCGGTGCGCGACATCCGCTGCGAGTTCTGCGGGGAGTTCTTCGAGAACCGCAAGGGCCTGTCCAGCCACGCCCGCTCCCACCTGCGCCAGATGGGGGTCACCGAGTGGTCCGTCAACGGCTCCCCCATCGACACCCTCCGGGAGATCCTCAGGAAGAAATCCAAGCCCTGCCTCATCAAGAAGGAGCCGCTGGCCCCGGGGCTGGAGCCGCCCAAGCCGCTGGGGGAGGACGGGATGGATCCCAAGCCGCCGGCTCCGGCCGGGAAGGTGCTGCAGGGGCTGTCCCTGGCCCCGCTGGGCGGGAGGCCGGGCAAGCCGGGGGCCGGGGGGGCCCTGGCGCTGACGCCCCTGGGATCCAAAGCTCCCGGAGCCTTCCTGGCTCCCAAGCGGCCGCTTCCCGACGACCGGCTGGGCCCCCACGGGGAATCCAAGCACAAGGCCTTCGGCCCCCCCGAGCTGCCCTTCAAGGCCAAGGCTCTGCACGACAAGGCCTGTGAGTGAGGGGGGG